TTCCACTTATTTAGATAGTATATTTTATTGTTTTAATTGTATGTACAAATGTAAGTAATAATATCTCTAATTTATAAGTAAAAGCTATGTTCAGGCTGGCTCTGATTAGTAGCAGGCTGACATTCCCTACCCCTAAAATGAGTCTCCAACTCCTAGGATAAAATGTAACAAATATGTGAGAAGGGTTAAAAAAATTTGTGGTATTAAGACACTTAATTCCTCTTATTAGCTCTGTAATTCCTCAAGTGAATGGCTCCATCAGGTATGTTGCTTTCTGGAAGCCACTCATACTTATCTGCAGATTGATGTTTATATCTGACTAAGTAGAGTCTAGTATCTTTTCCATTAATCCTCTCTTTCTTATCCTTCAATATTTTAGATACTTGGAGCTTTTCTGCCTTACTGGGTTCTATCAATGGAACTGGGGCTGCTGGCAAAGGTTCAGAGTTGTCACGTAAGGTATAAGGTTTAACTAAACTGACTGGAAAAACAGGGTGCTTCCTGGAGAGTTCTTCACTTAAGATAACCTCTACTGCATTCTTTCCATGCAGATCTTTGATAGTAAAAGGACCTACAAAAGATGGTTTAAGCTTCTTGTTACCACCTAAATTATTAAAATTGATAGTTGACAAAACAACTTTATCACCAATTTTAAAATCAGGCTGCTTATGGCTTTTATCCCATCTGTTCTTATTGTACTCCGACAGGAAGTTGAGCCAGTGATTGAGCTCACAATCAGAGTTCAACGAGTACGATTTCTTTGCTCCTCAATTCCAATGATGTTAGAGTTCAATCAATCCTTGGTTTCAATGGTTATTCTCGAGTTCAATCGGATTCCAACATTACGAGTTCAATTGCTCCTTGATTTCAAGGCTGCTACAGTTTGGCTGCCATTTGGTTTTGGCACCTATTTGATTTTAGTTTGACACCCATCCCTATTTGAGTTTGACTGCCTTTCAAGTGAAGGTTGCTGAGATTTTCAGTCATCGAGTGCGGTGCATGCGCGCTGCGCAGCAACTTTAATTTTATTTTTTTTGGGGGGGGGGGAAGTGCAAGATTTCCTGGAAGCGCTGTACCTTCTACTTAGTAGGGGGTATCAAATATAACCAAATCCACCATCATTTAATTGACTGGTTTGAAAAAATCCACCCTTTTTTAAACATGTTGGTTATCCATTTAACCCCTTTTGGGGCCCATTTATGCAAAAAAAAGTTTTTGCAAAAGTAGGGGGTATCAAATATAACCAAATCCACCATTAATTAATTGACTGGTTTGAAAAAATCCACCCTTCTTTAAACATGTTGGTTATCCATTTAACCCCTTTTGGGGCCCATTTATGCAAAAAAATGTTTTTGGAAAAGTGACTGGTTTCTGATGGTGGATTTCCTATATTTGATACCCCCTAGTGACTGGTTTCTGATGGTGGATTTCCTATATTTGATACCCCCTATTTTTCACCACCTTTTTTCCACTTGTCCAAAACTGCTGTCCTAAAATCTACCACTAAACATACTCATAACCTTAACCCTCCCAGACCTTCTGCATATCCCCTTCCTACCACCCAGCTCCTGCACTCTTGGGCACTAGCCCCGCCCTCTCATCACTCTCTTCATAATCTTACACAGTCATGTACAACCTACCATGCTGCCTCCTTTTCTGCTGCAAGGGCCGGGCCATGGTCCTACCAAGGACATGCCCGTGTTGGACATGTACATTGCCAAGGGATCCTTACCACAACAGGCGGACCCAATGTGGACAAGACTAGCCACACTAGTCAAGTCACTGGTCTCCTGGTTAGACATGGTGCAATCTTTGACAGGAAGAAAGCTGTTTTGATGGGCTTCTCCCCTAAAACACTCAAATGGCTGTCCTTTGACTTTGATGGACACATCCATAAGTTTCAACCCTCAGCCAGATGGCTGGGATTAATCCTAGACAGCAAACTAATCTTTACTGACCACATCCAAAAAGTAAAGAAAACAGGCGACCTGGCTCTCTTGCAGCTAGGCAGAATCATCAAATCCACCAATGGTCTGAATCTACAACTGGCCTGAAGGATAGTCAGTGTGTTGTTCCACCCACAGGTAATATTTGGCAGCCTAATTTGGTTCACCGCAAGGAACAAGAAAACAGTTTCTCAGGTCTTAGATGGACTGTTTCACAGGGCCAGCAGACTGGTAAAGAGCTTGTTCAAACAAGCCCCAATTCCCTTTGTGAAGATGAGCAATGGCCCACAGCCACTCTTTGACACTCATACCAAGCTATCCCTTTCCTACATCCTGAAAAGACTGACTAGAACTCCCCCACACCCATTATTACCCTTCCTCCAAAAAGAACTAACTGAAACCAAGCCTAATTTTCCTAACCCCCTGCATTCCTTTACAGTTTTAGAGGAACTACAAGGACACCTGCATTATGAATCGAGTCCATCCATGTCTCTTCATTCCCTCCATGGACCAAACCAATCTCTGAGATCCACAACCTGGGCATCCCCAAAGAGAAGGCGGTTGAACTGGTGCACATGCAGATCAGAAAGGAGGCAAATGCGGGGAAGCTGTTGATTTTCACTGATGGATCCTGGATCCCAGGCACTGGAGCCGGCACGGCTGCTGTTGCACATAAAATTTCTTTCTCTGACTAAGCTAAAATTCCTACTCACCACCCGATCTCTAATTTTGAAGCTGAACTAACGGGAATTAGATTTCCTCTGACTCAACCAATCAACAACATCATTGACACCTTAGGCAATCTTAGCATCTCTGAACCCAAGAGTTCCAACTCTCTACAAACCCCAACAAGACAGATTGATCAATCATACAAACGACCTCCACCTTCCTCCATCCATCCGACATCTTCCAATACACATCAGTCTGCCAAAAGACCTCCTTCTCCTTTCATCTCCCCAATTTCTTACCCAAAACCCCACTCCTGTGGACCCACCAATTCCAAACTCCACATTTGGAGTGTCAGGGGGATAAGAGGGAGATAGGGAGGAGACTGGGGGAGCAATGAACACTAAGGATCAACCACAATAGTCATCAAGCAAATTCACCAGTCCCTTGACATCCAGCTCCATGAAAGATACATTTAATCCGCGCAAAATTCTTACAAAAGACTGACTGCCCTGCCTCCTTTGATTGTAAATCTTAAAGGAATCATCTCTCACTTTGACTTGAAGATTTTTCACACATCTCACATGGACAAGACTCCAACAACCACTTGCACTGGTAATTATGTGGCTTACATGGGGATTACTTGCATACAGCAAGTGCACAACACCAAAAGAGAGGGGACCAAGTTCACATCAGACAATTTTCATGCTCAGTGGCACGTCAAAACTGATCTAGTTGTAAGTTCCTTATTTGGTTAGAATCAAGAGAATCCAAACAAAATTTGCCCAAGGTTTATGATTTATTTGGTTCATTATTCTAATATTTTGACAGGTGGAACCTAGTGAAAACCAAGATGTCATGGAGGCACAGAAGAAGAATAATGCACCTGTTTCACCTGAAAACTTCAGTTTTTAACCAGAGATAAATGTTTCCTCGTCCTTGGTTTGGGACCTTATTCACGCAGGAGCTTGCTAAATAACTCATAAGTCATCCATTCATCAGCACCTCTGAGAGCTCTGATTGAGACCGGTGTGGTGTTCTAAACGGTACGGGCCCCCTCAAGGTCGAATTTCAATTTTCAACTTTCAAATTTTCAATATACTCAAGCCTCAAGATTTCAACAATATCACCTCCGATCCCCTCTCAGTTCAACAGTTTCCTTCATTATATTATTTTACTATGTTTTTGTTTCATTTCATTATTTTACTTCTGTTCTGTTCTGTTCTGTTCTGTTCTGTGTTGTGTTGTTTTGTGTTGTGTTGTGTTGTGTTGTGTTGTGTTGTGTTGTGTTGTGTTGTGTTGTGTTGTGTTGTGTTGTGTTGTGTTGTGTTGTGTTGTGTTGTGTTGTGTTGTGTGTGTTGTGTTGTGTTGTGTGGTCTTGTTTTTGTTTTTTGGTTGAGTTGTGTTGTAGTTAGGGATGTGATGGACATGTCACTCCCCAAATTCAAAGTTCAGTTTGAACTGAGATGATGGGGGAGCATGGCACTCTGATCTGATCCAAGATAGACCCATCAATTCTTATTGATCTTTTTATCATTGATACTTCTGATCCTCATACATATCCTCAAGCTGTTCACTCAAACTCAACAACCACCACAGAAATCAATTTATGTTGTCCCCTCTCAGAAAAACAACCAACACCAACGTGTTCTGTTCAGATCACATCTCACTCATCCAGACCCCACTTCAAGGCAGCCCTCAAAGCACAATCCCTTCAACCAACTGCCTACCGCCTGGCACAATAGGAGTTCCACATTTGGTCCCCTGAGCCATGCTCAAACTAGCAACCTCAAGATTTACAGTCTTGTCTTACTTGGTCTTCTTTCAGGAAACAGGTGCTCTAACCTTGAGGATTTCTAGTGTCTGGATTTTTTTCAGGATATATAGCCTTGTTTCAGGATTTTGAGCCTTGTTTCAGGATCTGTGGCTCTGGTTTCAGGAATTTTCTTTAGGTTTGCTTTTTATCAATAACTTCAATTGCTGATAGCTCGCAAACCGTTTGCTTGTGTGGAATTCGCTTACCTTGATTTTGGATCCTTCTACCCCGTTATCTGTTTGCTTTTGTGGATGGAGTCCGCTGGCAAAGTTGTAGCTGTCAATCAGGGCCTTTGTTTAAAATCAAGATTGTTGGAATTGGGCCAGTAGTTCAGCAGTTATCGCTGTTTGAGTAAAACCCCTCAAATTCTCTCTCAGGCTTTCCTCTTTTTGGGTCAGTCTTTTCCACACATCACGTGGCATGTATTGTGGAGGCTTTAGGACCAAAAGTAAGTCCCCTCCAGCTGTGCACCTCTGAAGCATCACTGCTATCTGCCAAAGACATCATCGCCACTTCGTGAGCCATCCTTGTTTGCCATTTTCTTTCCTTAGAGTTCAATCAATTAAGACAGAATGGCCAACAACGGAGGATCTTCTAGTGACGCCATGGTCAAGATCAAGCCTCAGAATAAGGCTCTAGCATTCAATGGAACCAACATTGAGCATTTTCTTTCTCAATACCAACTAGCTGCACGTTTGGATGGAGTGCCGGAGAAGGACATGGCTCAACAGCTAGTGTTTTTCATCGCAAAGGACAACCTGTTGGATGTTGTGAAGACTTTGGAAGTATACAAGCCACCAGACTGGCCTAAGTTGAAGGCTTCTATGATAGCTTACTGGGGAAACATTGATACCGCCAATTTTAATTCATGTGTGTTGAATTTTTGGCGGAAAGGCCGAGAAAAATAATATTTTCTTATGAGTTAGCTGAGAGGGCTCAAGTGCTCACAGACAGACTGAGGGAAGGGCTAAAGTGCTTCCTTCAGGAACGGTCAAAAAAATAATAAAGAACCGATGTTTTTCTATTTCTTTAGTAACTAGAGTCTTTAAGTAATCTAGATACAAGTGCGCAACAAGTGGGAGCCGATACGCATGCATATTGAATAAAGAGAGAAAGAATACCGATGACAAAGGAGTGACATTCTAGAGAAATAGTAGAGAGAGAGAGAGGTCACAGCGAAATTTCAACAATGTGATCTGGAGTCTCTGGTTGAGGAGTGGAAGAACAAGGGTGGCATTTTGTCTGTTGTTGACTATCAGGAATTCCGCAAGAGTTGGAAACCCATTCAATCATATCTTCTGGCTAAGGCTCACATTGACTCGGCTGAGGAGATTTGAAAATGGTACTATCATTCTTTTTTGACCAGTGTCCAGGAGAGGATTCAAGATCAGCTGATCAAAAATTATAAGACAATGATCACCACACTTGATAAGCGTTTCAAGTTTCCAACTTTTGAGGTCTTGAAGAATGTGGTGGAAGAATTTATGAAAGGTCAGAAATCTTTGACCCTTGAGGATTCTAGATCAACTGTTCCTGTTCCCTCCACATTGTTTAAGGATTCCAATGATGTTATGAAGAAGATGAAAGCCGATTGGTGCCCCAAGGAGGTATCCAATGCTTCAAAACCGCCAGTAACCATTGATGAGATCTCAAAGATGCCTCAGTTGTTTGAGCAGCGCTTGAAGAAATAACTTTCAACTCCCCAAGCTTCTCAAACCACTCAATCCGGCTCCCTTTCACCTATGTTCTTATATTATTGTCACTATGAAGGCCATGGAACCGGTTGCTGTCAGAAACTTCAAGAAGACAAAGAAAATAAGCTTGTCAAGCAGCAGGGTAATAAGTTTTTCCTTCCAAATGGGGCCCTTATTACATTTGATTGTACCCCACCAATCCACCATTTTGTTGCTTCCTATAAACCACTGAGACCATCTACTAGTTTTGTTTCAACCAAATTTAAGGCCAGCTGCAGTACTCTTCAGCCATGGTATCCACCAGCCGTTGTGAGAACTCCTTTGGGATGGGTTGGCAGTCCTTGAGGGGGAAATAACAATATTGATATTTCACTAGATAATATTTACTGTTACGGGTGGTTTGAAAGACCTGCCCCTTTATTTACTACACAAGAATTCTGACAACAATTTATTTTATTAGTGTGGAGTGACTTTATGATGGAGAAAACTTATATGTAGTAGTCTCTATCAGACCTAGATCAGTATGTAATTCAATACAAGATGGTTGTACAACCTTTACACGGTGAATGTGGGTGTGAAAACAATCCAAGTGAAATATTTTATAGGGTTTTATGGTTTTACGGTGATTCTGGATAAGTAGTGAAACTGTTGGTTGCTGGTGTTGGTGTTGGTGTTGGTGTTGTTGTTGTTGTTGTTGTCGTTGCTTGTGTTGACTAGTCTTGAATGTTGATGACCACTTGAGCTTGCTGTCTGGCAGCTGGGCTGCTGAGTGAAGATGGTGATGACCACTGAGCTAGTTGGGTATGAACTGGCTGGGTGATGATGGGGGGAATTGGTGAAGGAGAGGCCTCCTTATATATTCTTTTCTGTGTTATTTTTGCTGGTGGTGATGCAGTTGAGGTGATTTTGCTGGTGGTGACCTTGTGGGTTGCACTGCCTCCTGCAAAGAGTACATGCATTGAGCTAATTGTGCTGTGGAAATAACTAAATATGGTACTACTGTATGTAAGGATTGCATAACTGCTTGCACTGCCTGGTGGAGGTTTTTCTGTCCACATGCATTTATGCAAAGTCGGCATAAATTCAATTAAGTAACTAAGTGGAGGCCTAATGGTCACACATATGCATGCAAGAATTGCATAAATGGTCTGAACTACTGGTGGAGGCCTGCTGATGTAATAATTTATGTGTATGTACTTATATATATTTGGTAAAATAATATTAAATAATAATTAATGACTACTTATGGTATGGCTTTAACCTTTATATTGGACTAGTATATGCCCCCAAATTTGGGGAGGCTGCGTGTTTTTGCCCCGGATGTTGGGGGTTTTACTTGTTTGAAGGTCCTGTGGTGTAATAGCCTTCGCTTTTGAAGGTCATTGTGAATATAGCCTTCGCTTTTGAAGGTTGCCATCGATTGTAAAGTATTAGCGAATGTCGGAAATGACATTGAAATGTGCAACATCGACGCCGGCGTTAGAAGCCGCATGAGAAATCAATAGAAAGGCCTATTCAAGCCTGACGGTTTGTTTGGCCCTCTGAGGCCATTCTTTTAGTTATATGTAGATTATCTTCTAAACTAATAGAGATAGAGGTATAGTTGTAGTGAGTGACTATGGGTAAAATTGTATGTAGATTCTGGTTATGCAATGATATATTCATTTATGTAAGTGGTTTAGGTTATAAGGTAGGGGTTTTGGCAGTTTTGTTGCGCACAACAGCCTGGAGCACCACACCGTCTCATCTCAGTCTTTCTCCGGAGCCTACAAATCTGATCCTGCTAGGAAGAGGCATGAAGAGCCAAAACCCTACAAGGCCCCTTCTGCTCCCCCCTCTCAAACTTGCTGTCCCATCAGGAAGCCCTCTACCGTATCCCCTAAACCTGAAAACAACAAGATGCAAGTTGAGCCCAAGCTCTTTGAAAGAGGACCAGACGAGCCTAGTCATACCAAGGTCCCATCAAATGATTGTGTTTCTCTGTTGCTTCCATCAAATTATCCAGTTTCTCCTTTGCCTCTGTCAAATGATCCAGTTTTCCATTACCTCCTTCCAAGCCCGCAAGTTCCCAACCCAAAGTCTGCCAAAGAACATCTGAATGCTGTAGATGGTGTACCCAAGAAGATCTCTGACCTCAGGGTTCCCAATATTTCGTTGTCTGAGTTGATGGCCATTGCTCCATCTATTGCTGAAGGAATAAAGAAATGGGTCTCCCGTTGTCGCATTGAAGTTGGACCAGACAAGTTGAAGGTTTCTTCCGGTACTCTAGTGGAAGGTTTCAAAGTCAGAGAACAGGTTTGTGATCCTAAACTTTACTCCTGTCCATTGGGATACCTCCCCTGTCTCATTGGTGATGAAGATTCCCCTGTTTCTCCCCTTGTGGATTCTGGTTCTCAGCTCAATCTCATTTGCGATTCTTTGGCCAACAAGTTCAACATCAGTCCATGTGTCAACTTCAGCTGGGCCATTTATGGTATTGGTAATCAGGCCTGGTGGTTGTTGCTGAAGATGTTCCAATTTGAGTTGTGCAAAATATTGTTGGGACTTATCATTTTTGGATCACCCGGTTAGATGGACCTTTGATTCTTGGTCGGCCGTTTTCAATTGATTTTGTTGCTACCTTGTTGTTTTCGGCCCAAGTTGGAGAGAGAATTTTTCTTCCTGATGCAAGTGGGCGCAAGATTGAAGTTTCTCTTTTTCCAGTCAATTCTGGTCAATGGCAGTGTGAATTTCCTAGTCATGGTCGGAAGGTGGTTTTAACTAACAAAGGGAAAACACGCAAGGACCCAGACTCAGAGCGGCATTTTTTATAGATTCAGTTGATCAAATTTATGGCAGTCTTAATTTAGAGCCTAAAATTCTTGCTGTTGGATTAACTCAAGATCAAGAGGCTCAATGTGTTTTGGTTTCTGTTTCATCTTCAATTAAAAATTCAAAACCTCAAAAACAAATGAAAATCATCAAATACACAAAAAATATTCTGACTTATTCCAATCTCAGTTCTCATTCAGTTTCAATTGATCATCATCTCAGTCCTGTTTCCCACGTCGTTTCTATTGGTGTTCCTTTTTTTTATTTCAGGTGGTGAATATGCTGAGGTGGATAATGGTTTCTTGCAGAGGCAAATTGGAGTAGAAGTTAGTCCTCCCAATTGTGCACCTCCAGGGCTTAATTCCACCAAAATAGTCAAAACTCTACCATGTGCCACATTTGTGAGCAATTCCCAAACCCTTGGTCTTTCTTCTCAAATAGGACATACCCATTTGGAGGATGATTGTCTCTGCAATGAGAATAAACTACACTCGTTTCACTTCAAGACTTCTCAACTCTCAAATCTAGATCCTTGTCTCCGCAATGAGGATAAACTATTTTCTGTTCAGTTAAGTGATGAAGATGGAGTGGTGGAATTTGGACCTCCGTTCAGGAAATTTGGAGTAGAAGTAAGTCCTCCCAATTGCACCTCCAGGGCTAGATGCCACCCAATGTTTCAAAACTTTACCTTGTGCCACATATGTGAGCAGTACTCCACCCTGTGGTTTTTCCTTTTCAGAAAAATATGCGTTTGAGGATCCCTTTGAGCTCCGGACGTGGCTCATGCTTGAGCGAGGTTTGAACCGTCAATCACAAGATATCCTTCCAGAATTGTGGAAGCAAGGGGATTATCTCATGTTTGCTACTAAGTACAAGCCAGTGGCCAAGAAGATCAAGCCTATTCCCGTTGGACTCAATCTGCCTCTCAAACACCCCCCCCTCTCTCTCGCGACCCGTGTCGTGCACTTCCTAGGTCTCTGGCTGTCCCTTTTGTTGCTTGTGGACGTGTCACAGAAGAACGGCTTTCAGTGGTTTATTTTGGACCAGATAGTTGGCTTTCTCCGGACAAATTGAATTTGATCAAAAATGTTCTAGCACTGCGGGAGAAGTTGATTGCCTTCTGTGAAGAGGAGTTTGGTCTTTTGAAAGAGTCCTATGGTCTTCCCTATATCATTCCAGTTGTCAAACATGTTCAGTGGCAGAAGAAAAAGATTCCCATTCCGGCAGCTAAGTTGGAAGAGTTAATCAAGTTAATTTGAGAACAAGGGCAAACGGGGTTATATGAACAATCTATGTCAAGCTATTCTAGTCCGGTCTTTTGTGTTCTCAAGAGCAATGGGAAACTTTGAGTCATTCACAATCTTCAGCCATTGAATAAAGTTACTATCAAGGATGCTGGCGTTCCTCCTGCTACTGAGGATTTTGTGGAGTCATTTGCTGGATGTTCTTGCTATGGGCTTGGAGACATTATGGGTGGATACAACAAGCAAGCTCTAGATCCAATTTCCAGACCTCTGACTACTTTGGATACCCCTCTTAGCCGTTTTCAAATCACTCGGTTACCTCAAGGTGCTACAAATTCAGTTGCTGTTTATCAAGCTCAGATAATGTGGATTTTACAAGACAAGATTCCAGAAAATGCCGGAATTCTCATCGACAATGGAGGTATCAAAGGACCAACTTCTGATCATAACAATGAGTCTTTTTCTTGGCACTCTGGCATTCCACGTTTCATCTGTGAATACGCAGAAGTTCTAGAGAAAATACTTTTCCATATTGAATAATCAGGTTTGACAGTCTCAGCATCCACACTAGCTGCTTGTGTTCCTGCTTTGGAGATTGTTGGTCATGTTGTATGTAAGGAAGGTTGGCAAATGTCAAAGAAGAAATCAAATAAGATCCTCACTTGGCCCAACCCAGTCAATTGAACTGAAGTTTGTGGATTGTTAGGTTTGGTTGTGTATGTTTAAATTTTCATCCCATCACTCTCCGAGATCTGCTTGCCACTCCGTCGCCTTACTCAAAAGGATTCAGTTTGGACTTGGACGGACAATTGCGAGGCGGCCTTTCAGCTCCTCAAGACTATTGTTGGGAAAGATATCATTTTGTTCAAGATCAATTATGGACCAGAGGCCGGAAAAATCAAGCTTGCAGTTGATTCTAGGTTTCATGCTGCTGGTGCTGTTCTAACACAGGAAGATCAAAATGGTTTGGACCGACCTGCCCTATACAAGTCTCTCTTGTTTTTGGATGTTGAATATAGGTACTCTCAGCCCAAGCTTGAGCTCCGTGGCGTGTCTAGGATCTTGAAGAAACTCCAGACAATTTTGTGGGACCAGCACTTTGAGCTTCAAGTCAATGCACATTCCCTGATTCCGATGATCAATTCTCCAAGTCTTACAAATGCTCCCATGACATGTTGGGTTGCCTTTATTCATCTTTTCTCTTTTGATATTGTCCACCAACCTGCAAATTCTTTCACTATGCTGGAAAGTCTTTCTTGACAGCCACGTGGCAATGACAAATTGGATCCACCCTCTGATTTTGATGACAAAACTCCACACATCAAGTCTTTGAAGTCTTAATTTTTAGATGCTAGTGGGAATTATTCTGGATATCAAGAAGGGTATCGTGTAACGTTTTTGATTTTCATTAACTATGACTAGTTAATTAGCATAATATATCAGTATATTATCTTACATTTTCTTTAGGTTTACAAGTTATGTGTTATTCGAATTCTTTATTCTTATTCAATTTCATTATTACTAGTATTTTTCTTCATTATTTATGATTCCAGTTGTTTTCTTATATATAGATTTTTTTTCTTTGTTTTCCTTCCCTTCCCTTTCCTCATCGCGATTTCTTTGTTTTATTATCATCATTACATCTTGATCTTAGAAATATAAAGTCCTAACAACATTTCCTTATAAAGCCCCTTTCAAGAGTTTATCTTTCCTTTGGAAGTAACCTACCCTCTACTCTTTCATAATATAGACGGTTTATTCTCTTGAGTAAACTTGTAGTCACTCAAGAAAAGAAAGTAGTAGGCGGGCTCTCACAATGAAATCACAATCTTTTTTCTTCGAAATCATCTTGACTTTGCAGAACTTTAAAATCAAACAAATTTTTTCCTCCTTTTCATTGTTTTAAAATCTTTTTCATTGTCCTCTCATCGACTTCAGACGACTTCTCTTGACATATCAGTTTTATTCATTCAATCCTCAATCTTCCTTAGTCCTCTTTTATGTCCAACTCTTCTTCTCCCATTACTTCCAACAGAATGGCTTTCCCTGATTCTTCTTCTAGAAATGTGTTTGGTCTCCAATTTTCTCATCCCCTCATCTCTCCTTTTGAGAGTCCATCTCCTAACACCTACGTCGGGACTTCTTCTTAACGCAATCTTCCGCCATTGTCTCCCATGCCAGACAATTTCCAGCCTAGAGAAATTCCCTCTCCGTCTCCTAGTATTCCTTTTCCCTCTCCGTTACCAAATAGACAAGATCATCAAGAGGGGGTTTCCAATCTTCTTTCTGGTTTACAGATTGAGAATACGGATTGAGATCAAACAATTTTGTTCCATTGGCAATCAATCGCCTCTCTCAAATTACAGGCTAGGCGTAACGAGGAGACTTTAAGGAAGAACGATGCGACTATCAAAGAACTCAGCCAGTTATTGGTTTTTGCTTTGGACTTTACCAAGATGAAATCACAAGTCTTGAAGGAATTCTTGCAAGTTCACAATTCTTTTGATATGGCTAATGGTTCCACCAACTCGCGCTTGGCAACATTGGAGAGTCAAGCTAACTCCATGGCTAAATATCATTTATACCCTCCTCATTACTCTCACTTGTCATTTTCTGGAGAAATTGCTGAAACCCATCAGTTTTGCTATCTCATCCAAGAAGCTTTTGCGCGGATTCCTCATCATTTCAGAACTGATTGAGATTGCATTTTGTGGGTATCCAGTTACTTCCGCACGGTTTCCGGCTGTTTGGGCGAGCCGTGCCTGTTGTATTCCTGGTGGCGAGGGTTAATTACTTGTAACGCAGACGCTCAGGGACTTCCAACCAAGTCGGCATTGGTGTTGGCACCTTTTGTTCTTCTGGAATTGGTCACGTTGGACACCTTCTTAAATCTCATTGAATCACATTTCTCCAGTTCTACTGAAGAGGAGGATGCAAGGAAGGCTTTCTTTGCTCTTCGTCAAGGTTCCTCATTGATCTCCGACTTCAATATCCAGTTTAACACCTTACTTTATTCAGTCAATCTCTCACCAAAGTCCACTCTTGAACATTATGAACGCGCTATCAACCAGAAGATCATCAAGTTGGGCATTCAACGTGGGGGTTGGTCTGAGCTGAATAATTTGGACGACATGCAACATATGGCCGTCAAGCTGTCTCTGGATGTTGGTCGCGTTAATCAAATCAATCAACGCAAGTTCACGGTTCCACCTCCGCGCATCAAATATCGTGTCTCTGGTTCGGCACCGGTCACATCATCCCTGACATGATTTCCCAGATGGGAAATCTTGTAAATTTTGGGGAAATCCTGTAAAAAAGCAAGATTTTTTTCCCAGATTTTTAAGATTTTTCTAAAAATTTTAGATTTTTCCAGATTTTTTAGATTTTTCCAGATTTTTTAGATTTTTCCAGATTTTTTAGACTCTGCTAGATTCTTTAGATTTTTCTAGATTTTTGCAGATTTTTCTAAATTTTTTAGATTTTTCCAGATTTTTTAGATGGGCCTTAGTAAAAAAACCCGCATTTTCCGCGTTTTGACGCGCTTTTGCTGCGGCACAGCACACACGCTGTGGTAAATAATACTGTGTTTCTACGCAGAAAATATAAAAATTTCTTATTATCTCTTTATTCATTCAAGATATGGTAAAAATGACATCAAAAATGGAATCCTCAGGTAAAATAAACCCTAGTCACCCACTACAACCATACCCTTATCTCTCATAGTTTAGAAGTTACACGTATTTCAACCTGTCACAGGATATTTCTTGGATTTTTCACTCTAGCCATAGTCATTATGAATACAGGATGCATATTGCATACTGAATACCTTTGTAGTAAATTGAATACCTTTACGTTATTTTGAATCCCTTTGTATTAGTGATATTGCATGTATGCATCCCTTTGATCATACATATGCGTCCCTTTATCCATTCATATGCATCCCTTTGTAGTAGTATCTTTCAGCCTGTACCCTGGGGCCAAAATCCCTCACATTTGTCTATATAAGGAGGCCTCTGCCTGCCAGTTGTTCCCTCCATCATCCCACCAGGGGACCAGATCATCTCAACCACCCTTATAAATAAATCCATCTTATATATTATTTCATAACTACAAGTCATAGCCACATTACAATTTCAGAATTATATACATTGAAATACAGATTTAACACTTTCATCATCATCATAAACCAAAAGTGCCCTGAACCATATCCATCAACAACAACTTCATCAATATAACCAACAGTCAACAACATCTTTATACCCTCACACATATCAATCGGCAGCTTCATCTCGAACTTATCCCTATCACTATATATAAAATTGCCAAGCTAAGCTTGGTGGTCTTGTTATTCTGATAGTATAGAAGGGCAGAGCTTGCAACTCCAACATACCCTTCTCCATTCAGCAAAAGGGTTTCATAATCACTTTTGAGTCTTACAAGGGAGTCCCCAACGTGATAGGATAACCTCTGATTGGAATCGTGTGACCAATTTTAAACAAAACAAGAAGATAATCAAGAAGACATCGACCAAGGATCATTACTTTAGCGGTAAAAGGAACGAATTCATCAACTATATCTGTAACAACTCAACGGCATATTCAGTTATTCTGTTGATCAACTAGTCAAACTTCAATAAAACAATTCAACGAAACAATCAACGAACCTCTGAAAAAGAAAGTGTAACCATCAACTGAAAACGAGTATCTCGAAGGAGGCAGCCAGTTATTGACCAAAAGAAGGAAGACCACCAAAGGATTTGGATAACTTGGATACTGTTTGAAGAGAACTTAGGAACTATTCGAAGGAATCAGCTGCTTATTGACCAAAAGAAGGAAGACCACCAAAGGATTTGGATAAGTAGATCCTGTTAGAAGAAGAAATTCCCAGTATTATTTGAATTATTAGGGGGTATCAAATATAACCAAATCCACCATTATTTAATTGACTGGTTTGAAAAAATCCACCCTTTTTTAAACATGTTGGTTCTTCATTTAACCCCTTTTGGGGCCCATTGATGCAATAAAATATTTTTAAAAAAGTGACTGGTTTCTAATGGTGGATTTCCTATATTTGATACCCCCTATTATTTTAGAGAATCATAAAACTTGCCCTGGTAAAGAGACCAGAGACCATAGTATTATTTGTTTCTTTTTCAGAGCAACCGTTTGTTTAGTTATCCGAGGAGCGTTAAGTAAGGAAAACTAGGAAAATCAATCACAATCAACATGAGTCTACCGTTCAGCACACCAGATTTGGAAGACGGATTTGCACCATCAACCCCTTTCAGGAATCGAATCTTTGATCAACCTTCGGGATCATCTTCAGCTTTTAATTTGAATTAGGAACTACGATGCCACTTGTATACCAAAAGCCAATGGCCAACTCAAATCCTTGCGGAACCTAGCCTCTTCTATGATGCAAATCATTTTATGACGTTTCATAAGCGATTTCTTGGACAAATTTTTTGGATGGAAGAATCAACTATGACGTACCCACAACACTGGATGTATAAGAGGAATGTGAATGGTATTAACTCTGAAGGATGAAGATCAAAACCTGGTGGGAATCAAAATTTGTAAAAATCAAAGCCTCCTAGGCATGAGGAAAAACTGCAACAACCAACACTCACTTTAAAAGTCACATTCCCTTAAATAAAAATAAATAAAAATAAAAAAAAATAAAATGAGGATCATCAGCACAATTTTAAAATTAGTTATACATAGTTTTTGAATAATTCAAGTTCTACTAAATAGTCACACAGAAGAAATTGCCACAAATCGGCCTAATTCAACAAGATACTCGGATTGGAAAAAGAATTCTCAAGAACTTTCAATTTGGACAACTCACAATGTCAACCAATTGAAAATAAACCTTTAAGAAATCTGGACTTTGAAATCAAATATTCAATCTCATGGAAAACTAAAATTGAAGGAGTATAAAATAAATTTTAAAAGTTTGTCTTAATTGTTTTGAAAAGTTGGGGGAGGAGCTCACATTCATTTAAAATTCACTCGTTTACACCCTTCCTCCTTTACCTAGTTCTCATAGCCACTTACTAACTTAGTAGAATTCCTGATTAATGATTAAAAAAATCCATAACATTATAAATCAATCAGCTAAATCATCAACTTACAGAAAATGACCAAATAAAACACTGTCAGTAGACATAAACGTTTGAAGTTGGGGGAGGAAACTTTCATACTTTACTTACATTAACACTATCCCCAATTCAACCCACCTCATTATCCTTAAGTATCTCATCCAAAACACACCTTTTTTATTTTTTTATATCCTGTTTTTATGATCTTTTTTTGAATTTTGATATCAGTTTTTTTATCATCTCAAAGTCCTTTCTTGATTAGTTTTTTTTATATATCAGTTTCTTTATTATCTCAAAGTCTTTTGTGGATTGAATTTCTTTATCATTTTTATTTATCATCTCACAATATTCTCTGGACTGCATTTCTTTTTTTTCTCAAATTCTTTCCGGATTGAAGTTCTCTCGTAGTTTCTCTATTATCTAAAAACTCTTTTCAGGATCAAATTTCTATATCAGTTTTTTATCATCTCAAAGTCTTCTTGATTAGTTTTTTTATATATCAGTCTCTTTATTATCTCAAAGTCTTTTCTATCAATTCCTTACTCTCTATCAATTACATACTTTTTATCAATTTCTTACTTTATATCAATTTTTTTTTATCTAAAGACTCTTTTCTGGATGCAGTGTCTGTTGCATTTCTTATCTCAAATTTTTTCCTGGGTCTATTTTTTTCTCTCTTTCAATAAGTCAATTTTCTCAATCACTTCTTATCATCTTCATCAGTTTTCTTTTGAGTAGAAGGTTGAGGAAAAACTCATTAGTTGGGGGAGGAATATTTCATACTTGACTCACATTTTTACTATCCTCACTTTCTCTTTTCTGTTTTCCTTATCTCTACAATTTTCAGCCAATAAACTTTCATATCTTCATCTCTTTTCTCAATTTCTCTCTTCTCTATATTATCAATCATGTATCTCTCAGACTTACTTTAAATCAGCTCCTGAAGGTTGAGGACAACCTCATAAGTTGGGGGAGGGGTACAGCTCTCATCTCTCACTTGATTTTTTTTTTTCCTTTTCTTTCTTCATTTTACATTTCTTTTCATTTTTATTCACCTAAGTCTCCCATTGATCAGGATAGTATTACAAGGATCACAAATCGGCTTTGAAGACCCGGAGGCACTCTCAATTTGTGGCTACTTGGACGGTTATCTTTTCCTTGCGGCTGGACTCTGAATGAAGGACAGAAGCTGTTGCCTCTACAACAATATCAGAATTTCTAAACCAATAAAATTTGAACTACAGGAACCTACTTACTCAGTGTGAAGGAACTCAAAGCGATGTACTGATGACTTAAACAAATCTTCACCACCGTTGGAGTTGGAAGCACAACAATAAACACGATCAAGGAGGAGGAGCTGATGAGGAGGAAAAGAAACCGGCGACGAGTCGGTGGCATTTATAGAAAAACGAGGACCCCTCGACTTGGACCTGATGGCACTGCAACTTCTCCACGATATCAATTGATTCGTCTCCATCGGTGATAACTTTCCTTTTCGAACGGTCAAGGACGTCTTGCATCCTTTATTCAAAATGACGAGGTCTTGAATACGAAAGAAAAATCAACTCAAATCCAAGGCGACGGGGCTAAAACATTGATCGCTGCTCAAAAGAAAAGGAGTGGAGATGAATACGGATCTTCAGCTAGACGAAATACATAAAACTAATGAAAAGAAAAAGGAAGAGAACCAGAAAACGAAAGGATGCTCACCTAATCACTGAAGCTATCCGTAAACTCGTCGCGAGGACAATCTTGCATCCTTTATTCAAAATCGATGGTGCCCTGGATATCAAAGAGAATCGACTCAAATCCAAGACAATGGGGCTAATCTATTGAATACTACTAAAAGAATAAAAGAAATGAAGATAAAAAACAATTGACGACTAGTGAATCTATACGAGACTACAGAAGAGAAAAGGAAGAGTAATCAGAAATGAAAGGAAACTTACTTAGATGGCTAAAGTTATCCGCTAACTCGCCGCGGAGATGGTCTAAAATACGACCGATAATGAGTCAAAACGAAGAATGGATTTTTTTTAGATCAGCAATTAGAAGATAGTTAGATATAAAACAGAAACTAGAAGATCGGAAACATTTACCTGCGGGGGTGGATCGTCGACTAGTTTGAGGATCGTCGATAGTTGGAATAGTTGAGGAGTCGAGTGCCGA